CTTTAATGCTAGCACTTGAGAGACAGAAGCAGACAGATTTTTTTCTAATTAAGAGTCCAGCCTGACCTACAGAATGGGTTACAGGACAGCCTAGACTGTTACACAAACAAACCCTGTCTTGGAAAAAAAAAGCTGAATGCTAACTGAAGGTAGGATCTTCTCAAGGTATAAACTGAGACTGCTAGAATCGTCATGATTTTTACACTTGGGCAGGGTTTTAACAATTTCTTGGTAAGAACGGCACGTGGTGCCTAAACTTTTCAAGACATGACTAGGATTAAATATGTACTTACTTCCTAGGAGTCTGGAATTTGGGTATGTACTAGGTAGAGAGCATGTCCGTCTCCCAGTAAAAACCTTGCATTGAGTCCATGAAGATTCTTGGTGGCATTTCAACATGAGAACTTACTTTAGCTTTCCCACTGCTGAGTTTGCTTTGTACCTCTTCAGTGTCATGCGTGACAATCCTGAGTAAACTATATGCCACACACTGAAGGATTGTCTAGCAGATCACCAAACAAAAGAGTAGTCCTGGAGATCTTCTGGTAGAATTGCTATTTGGGGAACCTTAAAGACGAGTTCTATTAAAACTATAAAATTTGTGTTTAAGCCAGCTGTGGGGACACCTTTGATCTCAGCACTTGGGAGGCAGAGGCAGGTGGATCACATTAAGCCTGGTCTATATAACAAGCGTCAGGCCAGCCAAGGCTACATAAAAACTAAACAAAAAAACCTTGTGTTTGAAACAAGGAATTCAAATATTTTATCTCCCCACCAAGTAAATCCTTTCCTACACAAAGGTTCTGCTATATTCCTGGAACTTACATGAATTAATTGGCTGACTGCTTCATGTTTTCCTTCATTTCTTTTGCCCCAATTCTTTTAAAACTAGCCAGTTGCCAAGACTTTAAGGTCAGATCTCAGCCAATGGGGGAAAGATGCAGGCTCTACCACCTGCCCTAGAAAAAACAAGTGCATTTCCAGACTCTGTGACCAAGATACATACTTCAGCTGGAGTCGTGATCTTTTTCCTTGTGACCCCTAAACTTATTTTTAACATTACACAATTATAAACCCATAGCTGTAATTCCAAGACACAATGTCAGCTCAGTCATTATACAAACAATTTGAATTTCCAGTGCAAGAAAGTAATGTAAACAAAGGTGGTTTTAGAGGGTTAGAGTTGTTCTAAAAGAAGAATAATTTTTTTAAATGCTGCAAAAACAGCCAGGTAGTGATGGCACATGCCATAATCCTAGCACTAAGGAGGCAGAGGCAGGTGGATTTCTGAGTTTGAGGCCAGCCTGGTCTACAGAGTGAGTTCCAGGACAGTCAGTGATACACAGAGAAACTCTGTCTCAAAAAAACAACAAACAAAACAGCTGCAAAAATCATGGCTTTTGGAGATTGAGAAATTTCACATCAAAAGCTACTCTAAGAAGCACATATAGGACAAAATGAACATTCACTGAACTGAATTATCAAATGTGACCGCAATGAACCAAATAGCAATACCTTTTGATGAACCCTCATTTAAAATCTACTCAAAAATATAATTTCCCTAATTAAAAATTTCACTCAATTAATGTATGTGTTCAAAAGGTTGTGGTTTTTTTCTTTTTTGATACAAGATCTTATTATATGGCCCTGGCTGTCCTGTAACTCCATGTAGACCAGAACAGCCTCAAACTCACAAATTCACCTGCCTCTGCCTCCTAAGTACTAAGATTAAAGGCTTCAACCACCACACATAAGGTAATAAGTATCATAGAAAGATAAAACTGGGTGACAGAAGTACAGAATAATTGGGAGAGAAATGTAAAGTGATAATCTGTCAACTAGTGTTAACAACCATCTGTTATAAAAGAAAAAAATCGTAATGAACAAACTAAGTCAAGAGACTGAGGATATCTGCTATGAATAATTTAGGAAGAACATTAGGAAAGTAGCTATTCTGAAAGAGCTATATTTTAGGCTATGATTGCTTAATACGGATGAACTAAGATTTGAAAACTACAGAAGTTACACTACTGTTCTTTCGATCCTTTTGACTCCAGCTCCTTAAAACATAACTCTGTACCTCTCCCTTTTGCCATCCCTTTCCTAATTCAAATTCTTAAAAAGCCTCTTTAATCTTTGATCTCTTAGCCCTCAAAATATCTATTCATCCTACAGATGTTTTCTGAACATGTATCAGGTACTCTGTTAAGTACCAGTAAATTATAGGTTTTTGCTCTATCAAAATTTAATGGAGGCCAATAGTTTTGCACTATCCTCATGACTAGATACCATACTATGAGACCAAACTAAATAGAATACCTCATGGAAGTTCCACACAATCAAACTGAAGTTTTAAGGAAGCAAGTAAATCCCCACATAGATTGGCTCGTCCTGAGAGCAGGAAGCTTACAACAACCAAGTAGAGAGTCTAATCTACCTCAGCTGGGAAAGTAACCTGTCTTAAGTCACTGTTGGCCAATCCACTTTTATTATTCTTATAAATGCTGACCATTCTGTTATTCTTAGTAGAATAGCAGAATACTCATTCTACTACATAGAATGAGATGTGGACTGATACTACAAACAAAAGTCAACTAGCTCTTTAAATCTGCTGTAATTTTTTTACTGCTCTAAGGTGCTTACACGGTGGGAGGATATGATCAATTTGTTGAGCCACTTTTGGTGCTGGACACCTGTCATCTGTTATTTCATTTTTTGCAACAATTTCTGTGTATTTGCATTTTACAAATGAAGAGGCACAAAAATCAAACATACTTTAGAGTGAAATATTTGATTCCCAAAACACATGCTGTTTCCAATAAACATAAGAAATTACACTATAATTTGTAATGAACAATGTGAAATACCACAGAAATACCTAACAGAAGCACCAATAGCTAGAGACCAAGTTGGATTTTTAAAAATTTTATTGCATAAGTGTTTTGCCTGCATGTATGTATACACACTACATGGTTCCTAGTGTATGCAGAAGCCAGAAGAGGCAGTGAAGATTCCTTGGAGCTAGAATTACAGATGGTTGTGAGCTACCACATGGGTGCTGGAAACTGGATCCAGGTCCTAAGAGCAGCTAGTACCTGTAATCACTGAGCCATTTCTCTAGCCTGAGCTAGCTTTTTAGGAATAATTCTAGGTTAACTTTTAAGGAGTAAGTCAATTTAGAGAGGGGAGTGTTAAAAGTAAATATTATCATCCCGGGAAAAGAAAGTAACTTTATCATGGGTACAAAGGACTAAGTGAATAGTACTATTTCAGGGGAAAAAAGCAGAATATTGCTTTTATAAGTTTATACTTGAGAATATGAGAGAAAAGACTGTATAAGTTATCTAAAAACTGCAATATACCACATTAAAGGACCTGAACTTTATGCTTTAGACTGGGAAGCCATGAAAGGATTTAGAAATACAAGCACTGTGCTACATTATGAGAAAGGATATAACACTCTGATACATTATGTAGGTCTGTAGGAAAGGGTTCTGTCTGGATAATGTTTTGGAGTTAGTTGAGGAAATCCAAATTTGAGCATTGGATGAACATTTAATGAAAGGCTAATCTTCTGTATTAACTCATTTTTTTAAAGTTTACTAGGGCAAAAATCTGTATGGATATGTCCCAAAGGAACAGAGCAATCATCTCTGAATTGTAAATAAATGTTTGATTTTCTATTCTAATTTTCAAGTTTTTTATGTCACATATATACTATTTTTATATGAAAATATTTTTCAAAAAAGATCGTTATCACTAATTATCTAAAACGGAAAAAAATATGCCAGATGGAGAATCGGGGGTAACTTCTGATAGTATGATTAGTAAACATTAACTACTGGCCTGCCAGGAGGCTTAACGATCATTTGTTGAAAAAGATGGATAAACCAGGTCTTGCAGTGCTCAGACCGGAGACCTCTGCTGTGAATGACTTAAACGCAACACCCAGCCAGGAAAACTATTTTGGAAATTATCTTTTAGGCACTAAATTCCCCTTTCTTTACATTAACTATGCTTGGTGGTTTACACTCGTGTTTTGTTTTTCCAAACAAAGGTCAAATTCGTTTCGTTCTTAGTTGCTGTTGCTGGGGTGAGGAGGTAACGAACGGTGGCGGAGTTGGGATGGGTGAATGAGGACGGCCAGCAAGGGTGGCAGCTGAGGACTCTGGGGCCCCAGTGCACCGTGAAGCGGAGAAAACCCCAGGCTGCAGTCGGGCCGGGCCCCACGTTCTCTTCAGGCCCGCAGCGGGTGTCGGATGTTGGGGGGAGCGGTAGTGCGCTTGGTCCCCACAGGCCAACAATCAGCGAGGCGCCCCCGGGTCCCCTCGGGCCCACAGTGGGATCCCAGAGCCTACAGCGGTCAACAGGGGTGCGGGGTCCCTGAGGGGATGGAGGGTCCCCTGGGGCCCACAGTGGGCTCCCAGGGCCTATGGCGGTCAACGGAAGTGGGGGGTCCCCTCGGACCTAGAGACAATGAGGGCTGGGAGTGGCTGGGTCCCCTCAGACCAACAACGGGGGAGAACGGACCCCTGGGTTCCCTCGGGCCAACACTGGGGCCCTCTCAGGCCTACAGCGGGAGACAGTGGCCACTGTGTCCCCTCAGGCCGAACTGCTCTGGGGCACAGGTTACCAGAGCCGTTGGGGCCGATGATGCAGGTGAACCTCTTGAAGGGACCGATGACCTGGCGGCCTCGCCACGACTTGAAATTCTCCACGAGCAGCAGCTCAAGGCGCCCCATGGCCGCTCTCCGTGCCTCAGCCGCGTCCTCGTGCGCTGGTGGGAAAAGCGCGGGAAGAGCTTTGCCAAGTCTCGCGAGACTAGCGAGCCAGCGAGCCAGCCAGCGTGGGCCCCGTTCCTTAGCAACGAAAGTTGGCGTTTCCCGGGGGAATCTGATCCCTGCGCTGCAGCTGGCTGCGGGTGGCGTTGCTTTTCGGGGCTGCAGCTTGCTCGTCTCTGTCGCCTTTTTTTTTTTTTTTTCTTACCGTGTTTGTTCTGAAAGCTGCTGAAGCTCCCACCGGGTTCCAGAGCCATGGAGGTAGCGATGCCTAAGGACCTGCAACAGGATGCTATCCTAGCCGAGAAGCGGTACAAGGAGCTGTGCAGGCAGGGACGGATCTTCGACGCCAGGAGCAGGATCATCTCGGTGAGGCACCGGGGACGGAAGGAGCCAATGCTTGAAGGAACTTTTATATCCAAGCACCAAGTTTGGCTGAGTCGACTTGAAAAGCTTTGCCTCGCCAGCAGTGTCCCAGAGGGAGCCAGTCCGGGAATGGACACATTTGCTTTCCTCCTACTTAGCTCAGTTTTCCATTCTTCGAGGTGACAAATGCCCTGGCTAGCCTGAGTCGGGCCCAGGAGGTGGGAGACCTTTCAGAGTTCACCATGTAGTGAAAAAGGCAATGCCTTAAAACAGCCACAGAAAATGCAGTGGCATCAGCACCAGCAGAGACTGGAGGCTCGAGGGGAATCATAGAGAGCTTCCCAGAAGAGTGATAGCTAAGCACTGTTGGGACAGTGTGTGTTATGTGAGGAAGCTATGGTGGCCGCTGACAGCATAGGCAGGACACCCAGCTATAAGCAAAGCCATCCAAGCACTGGAAGGCAATTTGTTGATGCCATGACCAGATGAGGGGATTGTGGCCTACTGAATAACGATCGCTAGCTCTAACCTCTCTCCCCTTGTCCATTCCTAGGGAGACACACAAGCCTGGGATGTTCAAGTTCATGAACAGAAGATAAAAGAAGCAACTGAAAAGGCTAGGCATGAAACTTTTGGTAAGTACTTCTACCATTGGGTTTTTAAATATAAAAAATAGACATATAATTGTAGAGACAAATGTGCTGTTAATTTAGGCTTTAAGATATGATTAGAAAAAGACAAAGTTTGTTTCAGTGGTTACATTGGAGTGGTTGAATTATGAATGAAGTTGCTTTTCTTTATACTATTATACATTTTCCAAACTTTATAATCTATTTATTTGTAAAGTAATTCAAACTTACAAAGCCAATTTAAAAGACACGTGTGCGGCTCTCACCAGGCTTGATGTCAACAGTTTGCCATTTGACCTCAGGTATCTTCAAGAGTTCTATCTGAGAACTATGTTCTATATAACACAAGTACCCCTACCCCATTATAATTTCTCCTTTTTTCTTCTATAGAAGTATGCATTTCCACTGTGTTTATAGATGTACTATCTGTGTATCCTTAATAATATAAATGCGCGTGCGTGCGTGTGTAGGTAGGCTTACCTGTGAAAGCACAGAGACTGTAGACCAGGCTGGCCTCTGCCTCCCAAGTGCTGGGGTTGAAGGTATGTACTACCACACCCAGATTTTTAACGATTTTTGGCAAATGCTGCTGCAACAAATGTCCGTGTATTGTGTCCCCTGTGCACATGTGAACCGGTGGATCAGATTGCTCTGTTAGAAGTGTACCAAGTTATTCCTCACGTCATCACTAGTGTATGCCATTGGCAGCATTTATAGCACTCTGCCTGAAGTTCATTGAATGTGCCCCATGAAAGGTTAGCATTCCTTTCTAAGTATGTTGCCCACTTGGGTTTTTTTTACAGCGCTTTGCCTGTGCTAGCTTGTGCTCATTTTTCAATTGGCTTTCCTGTGTATTTAAGATCTGCTTATAGTGCTTTTTTATATGTGTGCATACTATTCCTTTAATTGTTATGTTACAGTTTGGGAGCATTGTCCTTAGGTCATGAAAATTAGTTTTGAAGTAGATTCATTTGTATTCCTTGTAGCTTATGTGTACACTTTGTCTTTCCTAGCCGCAGAAATGAGGCACAATGACAAAGTCACGTGCATACTCCAGGACCGGGAACGGAGGGACAGGAAACAACTCTGTTGCGCTATCAATAACTTCCAGCAGACCTTTCAGAAGCCAGAAACTCGCCGTGAGTTTGATTTGTCTGACCCACTGGCTCTCAAGAAAGATCTCCCAGCCCGGGTGTCAGACAGTGACAGGAGGAACACCATATCAGGAATGCAGAAGTTCATGGGAGAGGACTTAAACTTCCACCAGAGGAAGAGGTTCCAAGAAGAGCAGAACAGAGAATGGTTCCTGCAACAGCACAGAGAGTGGGAGAGAGCACGGGCTGACCACAAGCTTGCAGGTAATGAAAGAGAAGACAAGTTGATCTCAACCCCTAGCTCAGTATTTGTGAGTGCTTTTAAAAGCTCTGTCAACATTACAAAATCAACACCTCAGCCCCAGGAGTCAGCATCTCCCACTGTACCTCCGCAGTAGAGGAAGTGCTTTCTGAGTACTCCTATTACCCTGGTTTCCTTTCTATTGCTGGGATGAAACACCACGACCAAAAGGAACTTGGGGAGGAAAGGGTTTATTAGCTTCCAGGTCACAGTCAACCACTGAGTGTAGCCAAGGCAGAACCCGGAACCGTGTAGGGCAGGAACCTGGAGGCAGGGGCTGAAACACAGCCTACTTAAAAGATGAATAAAAGTGTGTGTGGTTTTCCAAGTCTCCTGGGTGTGGAAATGGAAGTTCCACAGGGCCCTTTGGGAGCCCAGTCACAGGCCCAGTACTAGCAGGTTCTCACCAGGACTCACTGGACCCAGAGAACGTCAGGATTCAGACATGAAAGGGCCTCTCCATGGGGAACAACAACAAAAAGCAGTATGTTCTGCCTCCATGGAGGCCATCAGCCCCTCCTTGGCAGGCGCTCACAGCAGCTTCTGGTCTTCTGAGCAGGTCACTAGTGACTGGACCGGGAGGAGCTGCCAGGAAGAGCAAACCAGAGCTAAGGGGAGCAATTGCTCTGCCCTCCTCAACTGCTCCAGTCTACTTCAGTCCCCTCCCCCCGCTCAGCTTGGGCCCCTCCAAGCCTCTTTTCTCTCTGATGGCTTCCTTCTCAGCCCCCTCTTCTGTCCTCCCTGTCCACTAGAGTTCCTGGAGCCAGCTGGGCCCGCGATCTTCCTGCTCCCTTTCCGATGTCAGTTCTCAGCCTCGGCGCCCTGGATCTGCCTTGTAGGCCAGTTCTTTCCCTGGTTTCTCTGTTGGATCTGCTCCTCCTCCAGCATAGGCCAGTTCTTTCCCTGGTTTCTCTGTTGGATCTGCTCTTCCTCCAGCATAGGCCAGTTCTTTCCCTGGTTTCTCTGTTGGATCTGCTCTTCCTCCAGCATAGGCCAGTTCTTTCCCTGGTTTCTCTGTTGGATCTGCTCCTCCTCCAGCCTGCCCTGCCTGTGCACCCAGAGATCTGAGAGGCAATTCTGACCCCGTCTTCGGGTGTCCTCCCCTGTGCCCCTCCTGTCTCCACCACACACTCTGTTTGAACTGTCCACCTCTCGTCATCCCTTTTGCCACACTGTTGAGGCAAGCCATCAGATTTTCTCCCCTGAATGGGCCTCTGCTAGTGGCTTTCTAACTGTTCGCTCCCACCTCTAGCCCATTCCTAACATGCAGGGGAACTTCTCAAATAATGTCACGTTGAACCAACCATGCCACACCCACGGCCTCATCCTAACTCAAAGGTATTTAATGTCTTCGTGGGATGCAGAATGAGATGAAAAGCAGCCCATACACTGTACACATTGGGCCTCTGCCCGCCTGGAGAGCGTCAGCTGATGTCTCCACCTTGTTCATGGCGTTTCAAACGGGTTGTCTCACTTCGGATTCCGTCGTGTCTCTCCCACCTCAGGGCCTTTGCACCTGCCCTGACCATTTAGTCCTTCAGCTTTGCATAAACGTGTCCTCCTAGAAAAGCAGTTTCCTGGTCCCTAACCTCCAACTTCTCCATCCATGCATTCCCAGCATCTCCTCTTTCATCTCATCCTCTCTTGTCTCAATGGACTAGAATACTTTGTATAGCTATTGGGGGGCATTGTGTGCTTTGAACCCCCATCTCTCACCTCTGTGTTGTGTGTGTCCTGAGCAATGTGGGCCCCAGTCTAGACTCTTGATCACTATCTGGAACATGACAGATTAACAGATGAAGAGTAAGCTGAGGATGAAGGTGTGCAGAGGCCAGAAAGCCAGGGTTAAAGAGTCTGGGCCTTTGGGACTGCCTTGTAGTGCAGTAGTAGAGCACTTGCCTATTGTGTGTGAGGGTATGTATCCCCAGCACCAGAGTGTGCTCTTTGTGTTTGGAGTTCATGGGAGCCTCTCTAAGCACAAGCAGAGAAAGCAGAAGCTGCTGACCATTGACTTCTCATATGTGCATTGCATCTCAGCGCTGTGCCTCAGATGAGGGTGCAGGACACAGAGGTGCTGCTGATAACGGTGCTAGGCCATGTGTGGAAGCCTGTTCTGACTCCGAACTTTTCTACTTCACTCCTGGTATCCTCCAATTTCACCCTGCCTTGTCCCCCTCACTGCCCTGGCAAATTTCTGCTGCCACTCCACAAGTGTCTGTGTCCTGGCACTCTCTGCTCTGGGTCTTGTCTGGTTTCTACAGCCCTTGTTCCTGGTTCCTACTGCTTCTAGCCTTTTTGTAAGGCTGAAACCATCTGATGGACCAGAGTCGGCAAGATCTAACTAATCTACCTAAGGACTGCTGTAGACATCACCAGTTCACAGCAGACATCATCAGTCCATAGAGATCGCTAGTACCCCTTGCTCGCAAAGATCTACAAGCTACACTTAGCTCATCCTGCTCTCCCAGAACCTGTGAGGCAGTAGCTTTCCCGCTCCACTCACTCTCCCGTCTCCTCCATGGTAAGAAATGAGTGTGAATCACCATACCACAGGTAGCACTTCTGGTGGGCATACTCAGGCTGATGGCATCTTGTCCCCTGGCAGAAGACCTCCACACGCAGACAAGACTGAAGTTTGATGAAACAGCCAGAGGCCTGCAGAAGCTGGAAGTCTTAACCAGAAGGGAGGTCTGTGCAGCCACGAAAGAGTTCAACAAGAGCCAGGTATGTGCACCGTGAGCTCAGTCTGAAGGGAAGAGCATGCACGCAGCTGCTTCCTCAGGGCTCCCTAAGTTTTGGAGGGTCCCAAGTTGAGACTGCTCACACCACCAGCTCTAACAGAGGTAGGTGAGATCTGATTTGGCTTGCCCCTCAACTTGGCTGTAAACTTCACAATATAAGCTATGGGGGAGGATGTCACTTTAAAAAAGAAACAAAAAAAAACCCACCTTTTTTATTGATTCTTTGGGAGTGCCATTTCATATACTCCAATTCTGCTCACTTCCTGGTATCTCCTCCATATCCTCCCCTCAGCCCTGCAGCACCCCTCCAAAAGAGAACAAAGCAAACAAACAAACAAAAATTAGAACAAAAAAAAAAAACCAAGACAAAACAAAAACTTTCTTTGCTTCTCTTTTCCCACCTCTCCAGCACCTCTTCATTTGTCCTAGTAACACTGGGGGGCCTCAGTGCGTCATATAATACACCCTTTGTTCCATCAGCTTTGCTAGTACATGTTCATTGCAATGAGTCACTGGTCTGGTTCAAGGCCTCTGGTTTCTGGTACACCATCATCACTGGTTCCTCCCTGGAACTCCTCTGGGATATCCTGTGGCTGCCCCAGTCATGGAGATCCTGCAGGTATTGTTTGGCAGGACCAGTCCCTTCACAAGCTTCAGAGATCCTAGATGGGGTAGATGTTAGGGTGAGCCAACCCAAGGCCTTGCTGAGGCCTTGGGTGATAGCTGAGCTGGTCAGTCTGGACCACTGGGGGCCACCTGCCTCTGTTAGAGTCAGCTCCCCTAATGCATGCCCTCGCCTTTGGTGGAGTGGGACCAGGTCTCTTACTGTAGTGCTCAGTGAGAGGCAAGGCCAGCAAAGGGCAGGGTTGGCCCTGCATGGCCCTCTGGTTTCATCTGGCATGGTTCCTAAGGTCTCCTGAGGTGACACAGGCCACAGACATCAACAAGGGTGTCACTTGTTTTTAAAACTCCAGAACGTGAGGATAGGAGCATTTGTGATGAACACCATTTGGCCTGGGCTGGTCTCAGTTCTTATCATGTCATAAGCTCGGCAATCAGGCAGTCAACGCAGATGGCACCCTCCTCAACTGCCTGGTTTCCCTATAAGCCTCCTGTCCTCCAGCCCCCTTCTGAAGATGCTCCGAGTTCCTTACTCCTTTGGAAACTGCTTCCTCCTCTAGGTTTTGTTTTTTGTTAGTATTATTGTTGTTTTACCCATGCAGTTTTATTCTTGGTGATTTACCAGATCTCCCTGTCTCTAGATCTATGGTCTCAGGAAGAAAATGACTGATTTTATTTCATATTTATTGGTTTTGTTTGTTTGTTTTTTGTTTGATTGCTGTTTTTTAATTGAGACAGGGTTTCTCTGTGTAGCCCTGGCTGTCCTGGAACTCACTCTATAGACCAGGCTGGCCTTGAACTCACAGAATCCACCCACCTCTGCTGAGTGCTGGGATTAAAGGCAGGTGACACTATACCTGTTGTAATTTAAGAAAAGCAGCACTGGAGAGAAAGATGCCATGTGAGAGGGTTCAAGTAGAAGGTTTTTTTTTTAAATTAGGGAAAGGAATCATAAAGGGGGGAAAGCGAAGGGAGGGAAACCAGCCTCTGGAGACAAGAGCAGCAGGAGAAAGGGAGAGAGGAAAGATAGGGAGGGGTAAGAACAGAGAGAGGGAGAGAAAGAGAAGGAGGAGAGGTGGGCAGGGCCCTTTTAAAAGGGACATAGTGAATATGCACAGGTGGTGCTCTTAGTGGCTGCAGTTGAGGGCATATCCTGTCAGAACCCTAAGGACAGGCCTGTACAGATGCCTGAATACTAACAACACCCTGTTTCCCATTTAATCTTAACCCCGCTCTCTCTGAACTCAGACACCTGGATGGATTTTGTATAGTGCATGCTGTGTGTATGGTATTCTAGTAGCACACAGTGAGCTGAGTCTGTGAGATGCAATGTAGTAAAATGTTCTGTGATGGCCACGAGCCAAAACTCAGAGAGGCTGAGGTGAGTCAGAGAAGCCAGGTTTCTAGCAGTGCAGAGAGGAAAAGCAGGGCAGACTACCAGTGTTGGTGAGGGACCCAGAGGACATATTCACACCAGCAAGATGCAAGTGTTCTTTTTTATTATTTTTCTTTTATGTGCATTGGTGTTTTGCCATGGGTGTTGGGTCCTCTGGAACTGGAGTCAGAGACAGTTATAAGCTGACATGTGGGTGCTGGGAATTGGACCCAGTCCTCTGGAATAGCAGTCAGTGCCCTCAATTGCTGAGCCACCTCTCCAGCCCCACTACAAGTGTTCTTTTGTTTTACAGGAATGGCAGAATGGAGGGAACTCTTGACAGTTAAATGTCTCTAGGCAACATCTATCCAGCCACCCAGTGTTTATAATTCAGCACCGTGGGGGGTCTGTGGGGGCTCTTATGGATCCATGGTGTCTCACTCATGGATTTGAACGTGTGTGTGTGTGTGTGTGTGTGTGTGTGTAAGCATCTATGTGCTAATACATACACACATAGATATACGAGCACACACATACACTTTTTTGTGGTTTTTCTTTTATTTCAAAACAGGGTCTCACTGTGTAGCTCTGGCTATACTAGAGCTCAATATGTAGATCAGGCTGGTGACTTGAGTGTCAGGATTAGAGGTGTGCACCACTATGCTTGGCTCATTCCATACTGTTTTAGGAAGCATCTACACTGTTGCCTTCAGACCCCACAGCTCCTGTGTGGTTACTCGAGGCAGCACTGTCACAGTGCCTCTACCTGAGGAAGCTGCACTTTTCATCCTTCAGAGCTTCTGTTCCTGACCAGAATCAGACCTTACCATTTAGCCAGGAACATTAAAATTAAAAGAAAATTACACACTGGGCATGATGGCCCCCACCTGTAATCTGGCACTCCAAGGATATAGTAGGATGAGTTCCTGGCCATGCTGGACTATAGAGAGAGACCCTGTCCCAAAAAAGAAAAGAAACTTTCAGGCAGGCCACTTTGTGTCAACAGGGAAGGCACAATGGGTCTGCTTGTTTCATTAGAAGGTGGTTCACATCCAGGCTTAGGAGCAGGCTGCAGAGCCTTCCAGCAAAGTTCAAGGCAAAGCCCTTCTCTGCAGCCTTAGGCAAGGCCATTGAAGCCTGTTTTGTCATCTGCAGAATGAGAATGAAGGCAACACCCACATTACCCATCAGTATTCACGAACTCTTGCTCCAGTAAGGCATGCCTTAGACCATAGTGGCTCTGCACACAAAACCAATGTTCCCTTCTGCTGCATGTCCATCTCAAACTGACTAGGTCAGAGCAACTGCCAGGGTTACTTACAGCAGCACAGAAAGGAAGTGATGTCATTGGCCCCTCCCGTCTGTGTCCTTCAAGAAGCTGCACAACCACCCTCCCTTGCTCACATTTTGTAGATGTGAGCACATTCTGCAAAATGTGAGGCACAGTGTCATAGTCAGCAGTAATGGTCACTGCACCTGCTGTCTAATTTGAGGATGCACACAGTGTGTTAGGACAGTTTGGCCCATCATCAGGACTCTGGACTGTAGTCACTATTTATTTTAAGATGTGTTATTTGTAATTGTATGTGCAAGCATGTGTGTGTGCCATGTGAGTGCAGGTACCTTCAGAGGCCAAGGTGTCATGTCCTCTGGAACCAGAGTCACCGGAAGCTGGGAGCTGCCTGATGTGGATGCTGAGAACAGAACTTAGGTCCTCTGCTCTTAAACATTGAGCTAATCTCTCCAGCCCATGTAGCTGATTTTAGTGCCGGCAACAATTTCCGGCTAGCATGTTTGACTCTTTGACAGCCCTACTTCAGAGGCTGATTAATGCCTGATTAATGTCATTAATAGTGGCTGATTAATGTCACTGATAAAGCAAGAAGGGATGAGCAATTTTCCAAGGACATCCAAATACTAAATGACAAGTATTTGAATTTGGTCTTTGTCTGTCTCAAAGCCTGTGCTAGATGGCAAGGCAGTTGGCCTCTTGCAAGCCCCTGCCTTTCAAGTTCTCTGCCCATTCTTCTCTAAGAAGAATGGTCAATGCTGAGAAATGTCTCCTAGTCATCTATATTAGTCAGAGTTTCCTAGAGAAACAGAACTGATAGAATGAATTTCTCTATATAAAAATGGGGTTTGCTAGAGTGGCTTATAAGTCATAGTCAGGCTATTCCAACAATGGCTGTCTCCTGACAGAAAGTTCAATAACCCCGTAGTTGTCCATTTGGTTCATGAGGCTGGATGTCTCAGGTGGTCTTCAATATACCTCAGAATCCCAAAGAAGTAGGCTCTAACACCAGTGGAGGAGTGAGCTTGCCAGTGAGAGTGAGGACAAGCAGGAAACTAACAAGAATTGCCCTCTCCTGTATCTTTTACTTAGGCTGCCACCAGAAGTTGTGGCCCAGATTTAAGGTGGGTCATTGTCTTAGTCAGTGTTCTGCTGCTGTGAAGAGACACCGTGATTGAGGCAACTCTTATGAAAGGAAACATTTAATTGGGAGCTTGCTTACAGTTTCCGAGGGTTAGTCCGTTTATCATCATGGCGGAAGCACGGCAGCGTGCATGGCACTGGAGCAGTATCTGAGAACTTTTCACTGCTGACCAAAGGCAACAGGGAGAGAGACACTGGGCCTGCTGTGGACTCTTGAAACCTTAAAATCCACCCCCAGCAGCATACTTCCTCTAACAAAAGCACACCTCCTAATCCTTCTAATCCTCAAATGGTGCCTCTAAGTATTCGAATATATGATCCATTGGGGGCCATTCTTATTTAAACCACTACAGGCTTCCTACCTCAAATGATCCAATAAAAAAACAACTGTAGATGTATTCAAGTTGACAACCAAGAATAACCATCTCTTGACTGTACAGAGAAATATCTTCAGCCCAGAGAAGGCAGGCATACTATACAAATCATACAGCCCTTGTTTCCAGGCTTTGAGCAGTGGATCAACCAGAATTTGTTTTCGTTTGTTTGTTTTTCCTCCAAAGACAGGCTTTTTCTGTGTAGCCCTGGCTGTCCTGGAACGCTCTCTATTGACCAGGCTGGTCTCAAACTCACAAAGATTCACCTGCCTCTGCCTCTGCTTCCCAAATGCTGGGATTAAAGGCGTGCACCACCACCAGGCAGGAATCATTTGTAATGGGGGCTATGCTGAAACTGTCAGGACTGCTGAGGCAGCTGTATGCCTCCACCTTTAGAAGTCACCACTGTGGCACTTGTGGTAGTGGCCTACAGATGTCCAAAGGTTTTAGGATGCACACTGCCCTGTACTGGAGATGAGCTCCTTGCATTGACAAATTGGTGCAGAGACCCACAGTTGTACACTCATGGGTGGGGAATGACCCAAAGCCCAGCCACTGCCCAACAGTGTTCTGATAGTCTCCAGCCTGCAGCCAGGGCCCAGATGAGGTCTTGACCCTAAAGTCACTCCAGGGTATTCTGAGGTCCTTCTCTGCACAGGTTATGGAGTTGACAGAAAGGAAGAGGCAAGAGAAGCAAAAAGAGCAAGAAGACAATATGGCTGAGATCACCAACCTGCTGCATGGCGACCTGCTCTCTGAGAACCCACATCAGGCAGCCAGCTCCTTCGGGCCTCACCGTGTGGTCCCTGACCGCTGGAAGGGCATGAGCCAGGAGCAGCTGGAGGAAATCCGCTTCACTCAGAAGCAACAAATCCAGGAGAAGCTGGTGAGCCCCTCCTGGGCCACAGAGCTGCCTCTGTACCCGAGTTGCCCCCACACCCAGTTCCTGTGTCAGTACTCACTCTGAGAAATGTCTCTGGGCAGGCAGTTTCCATTCTGCTGGTGGGGGAGGGGTGTAGATGGAAGTTTCTGTCCTGCCCAGTTCCGCAGCTGTTTAGTCCCAAATAAACACACAGAGGCTTATACTAATTATAAACTGTTTGGCTGATGGATCAGGCTTCTTATTGGCTCACTCTCTCTTAATTATTAACCCATTTCTACTAATCTGTGTATTTCCATGTGGTCTTGGCTTATCAGAAAATACCCGGGTGTCCTGCCTTCCCAGTAGCGACATGGTGTCTTCTGGTGACTCACTCTCTGTTCTTCTTCCCAGCACTCTCCTAGTCTGGTAGCCCCGCCTATACTTCCTGCCTGGCTCCATTCTGCCTGCCCACTGGCCAAAACATCTGTATTTAATAAGAAAAACATAAATTTACAACATACAGAAGGACATCCCCCATGGGGGCGGGCAGGCAAAGCCAAATACTATGGTCACACATGATGTGTGGAGCAGAGGATGACTACAGACCTTTGGAGGATGGAACTTGTGTCTACAGAGATGGGAAGTTGGTGGGAGGGGCATGCGGGTTGGTGGGGGAGCTCATTCGTACAACTTTGCATATGTTAACTGTGTAATGTCCATTAGACATCTGTGGGATTAGGTTTGCCTGATGTGGCAAAAGAAAAGGACACCAAAGAGCAGTAGCTACATTTTAAACAAGGTAGAATCCGCAAAGCAATGTGTAATCCTCAAAGCAATCTCAGGTTTGAAGAGAGGCTCTGTGACCACAGTATTCTGCCATCCTTGGCACCTGATTCTAACTTTGTGCACAATGGCTGCTTAGATGCCAACCATTGCATACATGAGCAAACAGGGGAGAAAGAGAAGTAAGGATAGCATTTTTAAGGAGTTTCACAAGACATTTCCAGACATGTTTCATTGGACAACATTTAGATTACTTCAACTATAAAGGGCATTGAGAAATGTATAACTAGTGGTTCTTTATTAAGGATGACTACTGGGGACTCTTACATATTTCCAGGTTAGGTGGAGGTGGAGAAAAGCAGAGAAGGAAGCAGGGTTTATAATTAGGACTCAGAACAAGGTCTATGTTTGGGAGTTGTCATCTATAGAAAGTAAAATGGTAGCAATCCTGGGGGCCACCATGGGTGAAGACACAGGAGAGGAGCCCTGAGGTCTGGGGCTCAGGCATGGCCATCATTTACAAAGCAGGAACCTACTGAAGGCAGCTGGGGAAGGGGCGGGTAGATGGATGCCAAGAAGGATGTCTGGAGTCAGGGAAGGGAAAGTGTTCCTGGAGGGTAGTGAAGGAACCCCTGCACCACAGTACCCCCAAGATGTGGACTGCCCCCTCTGCAACCCACCAGGCAGAAGTGTTGGTGTGAGAGAGAGCCACTCTGTGATTGGCTGCAGGGAAGACTGGCCTGGGAGGAGAGCACAGGGCAGGAATTGCAGAAGGCTTTGTCTGTCTGTCATACATCTGTTCAGCTGGACTGTGGAATGAAGGTTGGCTCTAAACCCAGCATTTTGATCCAATTTTAATCTAGAAGATTTAGAAGGCAGGAACACACAAAGGGAGAAAGACCACATTAAGAGTCTTGCTCAGGGCCAGGCATTGGTGGCTCATGCCTTTAATTCCAACACTCAGGAGGCAGAGGCAGGCGGGTCTCTCTGAGTTCGAGGCCAGCCTGGTCTACAGAGCGAGTGCCAGGATAGGCTCCAAAGCTACACAGAGAAAGCCTGTCTTGAAAAACAAAACAAAAAACAAAAAAGGCTTCTTGCTCAGGCCCTTGCTCCGTGTCTTTTGGGCTCAGCCTTAGCCATGCTGTCTGTGCCCTGGGTGGCCTGGGAAGTGGAGCTCATGTTGAGGCAAGTATGCTGCTGGCCATGGTGTCTTTGAACAGTCCCTTTTTAGAGAGGCTTTTGAGATTCCCAGAAGCAAGGCCAAGTGGCAGGTGGCTAAGCCAGTGCAGGCTGACTTTGTGCCCTAGCATGAAGCCATGCTGGGCATCACCTGCTCCTCCAGTGTGGATGCTGCTCATCTTTCCTCCAACCTGCCCCCCACCCAGTCTCTTCTCCTGGGAGATCATTGGTGGGATGCTTACCGAGCTGATCTCCCTTGGGAGCCACTTCTCCACATTAATCCAGTGTCCCCTGGAGGACTCCATGCTTCACCAAGAAGGATCTGAAGTACATATCCAGGGCTGAAAGGCAGTACTTCTAGAACTAGGCTGCCACCCACACCCTCATGGTAACACCGTTGTCATAGGGCGAGGCTTAGTGCTCAGGGTCTCCACAGAGGATCCCAACTTTAGGCAGTGCTGGGATGGTATCAGGCTTGCTAAGCCAGCTGGGAGTCCTCCTGAGGACTTAATAGAGATCAGCCTGTCTGGGAGCTCTATGGGAGCCAATTCCCCAGGTCCTTCAGGAAGAAGAGAGCATCAATGCCATTTGCAGGCAGAAAACTGCCAGGCCACATAGAACAAGAGCAGGGTGCATGAGGTCACCACCCTCCTCTTTCTCCAAGCTTCAGTTTCTCCATCCATAAAAAGAGCCCATGTTTCCCAGATGAACCCTGCAGGCTCCTGGGCCTTGAGAGAAGGTAGTAAACCCCTTTTCCTGCCTCCAGAGGCTTCAGGAGGAAGAACACCAGCGCAGCATGGACTGGGACCGACGCAGGATCCAGAAGGCTCGTACCAGCCTGCTGCATGAGCGTCAGCAGCAACGCTTCCAACGGGAACTGCGCAGGGCCCTGGACTGCAGCAACCTCAGCCTGGCCAGGGAGCAGTATTTACAGTGAGTGCCAGGGACCTCCATGGGTGCAGAGTAGGTGGGCAGACCCACAGGTCACCGTGTGTACCTTAAGTGCCTGAGGGACTCTGAGTCACCTGGGGAATCAGGGAGGCTTTTGGAGGAGACTTCATGGCTGAGTCTTGGGGTACAGTAGCCTACTGTGTGCCCTCTCCAGGCAGAGGGGAGGAGGGCTCCCAGAATCTTTCACATGCCAGAGTCATCTGAGTACAGGCAGAACCCCAAGAGTGGTTCCAGGATACAGCCATGCCCGACAAACTAGCAACCAAGCACCAGGCAGGCATTGGCTCACTCAGCTGTTCTGTCCTGAACTTGAGTCCTGAGGGAACCCTTGGGGTCTGCTCTAGTCACCACCGGGTCTGACAGTTGTCATGGCTTCTACTGGGCCTTAAAGGAGCACTCAGACATGACCTGACAAGACAGTCAAACTCATGTGAGATGTCCCCATGAGTCACTGACACTAAGTCCCTCTAACTTCAGTGTCACTACTGAGTAGTAGTAGAGAGAATGCTATACATATACATATACATATGCATATGCATATGCATATACATATACATATAACACATAGTTTAAAATATGTGTGTGGGTGTTTTGTCTGCATGAATCCTATGGAGCACTTGCATGCACTGCCTAGAGAGGCCAGAAGAGGGCATCAGATGCCCCTAGAACTGGAGTTGTAGATTGTTGTATGCCTCCATGCTGGAAACTGAACCTCGGTTCTCTGCAAATGCTCTTAGCTACTGAACCATCTCTGTAGGCCTCGATAACTCTCATTTTGAGCTCATTAGTGCTGGAATGGACTCTGTAGAGTGGGAATAAAATACTTTGGGGCTTTACCTCACATATTTGCTTATCTTTTTTCTGTTATTAGGAAAAAACAAATTAATGAAGCCTCCACAAGTCAACCCACAGAAGATTTTTTCTCACAGTTTAATACAAGAAGCCGCTAACAGAAAAGACTCCCCTTTTCTTGTTGATGGTAGTGTAGTCCCCTAGGAATCACACTTATTTCAAAGTGAACCTGCTCCTTGGTGTGAGTTGGACCCCCAAACTTTGAGATTCCAATGTATCCAGGTGGGCACCCAAAAGACTCAGACTCCAGACCAGAAGATGCAACAAGCAAGAAGATTTTATTCCACGTTTGCACAAATGGGCTCCTAAGCCAGGGGAGGCAGAGAAGCCCTGAGCAGCTATTACAAGCTCTTTTTAAAGGCAAAAACCACAGGATTATCAAGGGGTCACATACAGCGCTTTTCTGAGGAAATTTCAGGCTGGGAGGGTTCGGGGAAGTGGGGGCCATCTGTCCTTCTGGAAAAAGTACAAGGTGTTCTGTCTGTTCTATCTCAAGGGCCATCTGGGTTCCTGTTGGGTGGAACAGAGTTTACTACCTAAAACTGCTGCTTCAGGTTTAGATCAGGCAAGGGACAGATCTTGCCTCCTTAGCTTGTATTTGAGTGGGGGGTCTTTCAGTGTGAACATCCTAGTCAAGCCACATCACCCTGGCAGGGAGTGTGCACTCTGGAAGCTCTGCTCTCTGAAGGTCTCCAGTGCAGCTTTGGGTGCTGTGGACATGGAGCACATAGGACACAGTGAGGGCCAGTGTGCCGCTCCAGTCCAGGCTAGCTGCTGTAGTCGCTTGCTAATTCAGTGAGCATCAAAGGTATTGTCCTGTGTGTTCCACGATGCACTCCTTGGTTTGAATTCTCACCCCAGAGGCTGACCAGTAAGTACTTCTACCACCCTCTAGTGGGAGAACCTTAGTTACAGGCACACATCTAGCTTATCATGTGATTCCCTTACAAGGAAATGTCCGCACTCAGGATTGAACCCAGCAAATCTGGCCTTTTCATCCTCTGGCTCCTATAACAAAGACCCAGGCAACAGTGGCTTCTATAAAGCAACAAAAGCAATCTGACCTAGAAGGCCTGTGGTTGAGGAGGGCCCAGTGTCCTCTGCTACTTGCTCAAACTCCCTTGTCACCAGGTAGCTCCCATCCTAGAGTCTAGGCCTCTGCTCCTGCTCAGAACCCTGCACTGAACCCTGTCACCCAACCTAGCATTCACTCCCTTCAGGGATATGGTCCAGAAAGTACCCATTTTGCCTCTGCTCACATCCCCACTGCGATCTGAGCTCCTGCTAGCAAGAGTGCACCTGTTTTGGTCTGGAGGTCCCCGGGATGATAAAGACTCAAGGGGATGTCCAGACCAAGAAGACCTCCACCTTAACATCACAAATGCATTCACTAGGAAATATGCCACCACTGACAGTGCCAACAGCTGCTGGGCTTTCAGGAAGGTCAAACTGAGTTGCGGTCACCAGTACAGTAGAGCAGTGCTCAGTGACTATCTCTTTTGGCCATAGGTACGCACAGGTTTGTCCTGTACAAACACCCACCTAGACCAAGAGTCCTGTGGTAGTGACAAAGTGACCTAAAATATTGAGTCAATCACAGGGTCCACCCGTGCTTCTCCGAAGACTTCACACAGCTTGGGTCTTTCCACACAGCCTGTGCTTCTGTCAGAAAACTGGGACCTGTTGTTCTACCTCATGTTTTTGTCAGGGACACACACACACACCCTGTGAGTGGCTCCAGCCTACAGACAGACCAGGCCTCTCTTCTCTGGAGCAAAATGGAATCCTGTGATACAAACCAAAATGTTGCCCACAGAAACCAAAGCACCCCGTCAGAGAAGAGACCAGGGCCCAGCCTCTTCAGATGCGCATTTGGAACTCAGCCCTCATTTCCTAAGCAGGAGTGTCTCACTCCAGGAGTGCATTATGGGACAAGAACATGCCAGGAAGAAAGGGTGGTTGTGGATGCTTTGGGGATGGAGCCTTAAGAGCACTACAGCAGACTGGCACCTTAAACAGTGGACAGTTCTAGTTCCTTAGAGTTCTGAGGGTTAGAAGTTTGTGATGGAAGCCCAGTGGCGGTGGCACACTCCTTTAATCCCAGCACTCTGGAGGCAGAGGCAGGCAGATCTCTTGAGTCTGAGGCCAGCCTGGTCTACAGAGTGAGTTCTAGGATAGCCAGGGCTATACAGAGGAAACCCTGTCTTGGAAAACAAAAACAAAACAAAAGTTAGTGATGGAGATACCAGGAAGATAAGGGCATAATGACTCATGTTAACAACTGCATTTATAATTACCCTATTTCCAAGTTAGGTTATGTCTGAGTTATTGGAGGGTAAGATCACAAATCATCCCACCACTGAATAAAATGCCAAGGGACCCCTGGGTGTATCAATAATTCTGTGGGGAGCATTGATGAAAGGACCAGTATTTGGCACAAGACATCTCACGACCAAATTCTCCGCACAAGGATTTATTTGTCCCATAGGGACAAAGAGAAGGAAATAAGACACCAAGACAGGAGATAGAGGAAGAGGGAGGTGGGGAAAAGGACAAGGGAGGAGGGAGGAATATTTGTCCTGGAGGGACAAAGGACTGCCTCTGAATAGAGAGGAAACAGACAGACATAACCTATAGGCAAATGGAGGTCTATAAAGGTAAAAGGGAAAACCCTGTGTTAGGATATTTAATTTTAACTGGGCATGTTAATTAGGGTAGCCAAAAAAAGGGGCTTTTGGTTGCTGGAGTTCAATACTTTGATAGCTGGACCTTGGTAGTCAGCCTCAAGGGGAGGAAGTGATCAAATAAGGGACTAGAACTTGAGCTCTAGGAACATAGTCTAATGGCTTTTTAGGAAGGCAGAGGGAACAGGGGAAGGGAAAGGTCCACCAAAGCCATGTTTGCTATGCTGAGGCCAACTAGAGTCCCTTCACTGGGTGCCCAGGATAAACAAGTCAGCTTGGGGCAGCATTGTTGATAGACAATGGACAGTCAGCTAAAGTGTAGATCCTCCTGCTTTTGAGGGGTGTGGTGGTTTGAATGAAAATGGCCCTCATAGCCCCACAGGGAGTGGCACTATTAGGAGGGGTGGCCTTGTTGGAGTAGATGTGACCTTTTGGAGAAAGTGTGTCACTGAGGGTAAGCTTTGGGGTTTTAGAAGCTCAAGCCATGCCCAATGGTTCACTATCTTCCTGTTGCCTGTCTGTCCAGATGTGGAACTCTCAGCTGCCTCTCAGCACCATGTCTACCTGTGTGCCACATGTCCCCCACTACAATAATGGACTAAACCTCTGAACCTACAAACCAGCCCCAATGAAATGTTTTCCTTTATAAGGGTTGCATGGTCATAATATCTCTTCACAGAAATAGAAACCCTAACTAAGACAAGGAGGGAGACACAATGAAATGTCCATAGAGACACTATGGATCCATCAGTTGAATGTATCAACAAAATGTGATGTCTCTACACAGTAATTATTCAGCCCAAGAGAGAAGTGAGTTGCCAGCAGAACACATGCAGCTTGGATGGCCTTGAAAACATGCCAAGGGAAGAAGCCAGTCATGAAGGGCTGCACACAGTGTGACTACATTTTTATGTAGTACATGTCCAGAATAGATCTTTAGAGACAGAAAACAGGTTAGACTTTTGCCAGGGACAGGCTTGAGTGGTAGATAAAGGGGGTAGAGTTCCTCTGGATGCTGAGAATGTGGTAGGGTTAGTACCAATGGCTATAGAACACCGAATAACCCATAGAAATGGACACGAAGGATAAGATGAGGAAGCCACATCTCAGCCAAACTGCAACTGGGAAAGGATTTTTGCAAAAGTAACCATGTGTTTACCTTGGGGGCTAGAAAAGAAATGAAAATGTATGTCCACAAAATGACTATTACAGAAATGGCCATAATGTCTCTATTTGTTAAAGCCCAAAACTGGATCAATCAAATTGTTTATCTTCAGGTAACCAAATGCATACCTGTGTTGTATTCATAATACCACGGAAATAAGTTGCTGATAAAGTCCACCAAAAGTCAGAGACAGAAACCGTGAGCAGAAACTCCACACCAGATATGAAAGATTGTACAGCATGGGATTCTACATGTTCGAAGTTCCAGGATCAGCAAAACTGTTCTTTTAGGAAGGCACGAGAATGACCACAGAGAAACAGGAGGCTACTTGCTAGGAGTGGAAGAAGTGTACAGATAAAAACAGTTACTCTGCCCACTGCTACCAGAACTGTAACAAACAAGTGAGCCCCTAACAAACAAGTGAGCTCTGTTTCTGTCTGCCATTGCCATATCCACCAGTAGGTGGCGTTTCTGGCTCGCCTGCTCCAACCTCCATAGAGCCCTGGCCATCTTATTTCCTCTAGAGCCTGAGTGTCTGCAGATGAAGGAGGCTGGTAGAGGAAGGCCATTATGGCAACCTGAGCAACAGCCACTTTGGGTGACAATGCGGTGAGACAACAGGACAGGCCTCCACTCCATCCTTGAGCAGCAGTCCTAATCCTAGTCGCCAGCAGAGCATGGGGAGGGTCTGGGGACTGTTGAAGCCAATGATGAAAGTTGAGTTGGGAGCCAAGTGCAGTGTGCACTTCAGAGTGGGGCTCCATCTCTGATAGCTCGCCCCACCTCAAGTGTCCAGGTCTCTTTCCTAACCAATACCTTCAGACACGTGCTGCCCATGGTGAAGCCCACACCCTCTGTCAGACCTGGCAGCCATCAGTCTTTCCAGCCCTTTCTGTGGAGCTGCCCCCTTTGTTTTCTTCCACGAATAAGAGAAGTGAACATCTTATCACAGCCCTGAAATGCAACATGGCCAGTAGAAGGCCCAGGGCCACAACAGGAGTCTTTCTTACAGTTATTCTAGAAAACACTCCAAACTTCCTTCTTGCGGTGGTGTCAGAGAAACTCTACTAGCTACAATTTGGGGACCAGACCACTCCAGAGCTTATTGAAGATAAGGTAAGATGGCTAGGATCATCTCCTCCACACCTAACTAGCTTCTCAATCACTCCAAAGGTTCCCATCTGGGGCTTGGGTTCACAGTATAGCTTCATGGACAAGATGTCTATGCAGAGCCTAGGGCAGGTCTCACGAGCATCTGAATCTACTAGGGACAAGAAGAGGAGCCAGTCACCACTAAGTCTCTTCTCCACGGTCACTCAGCGTCCTTGTGTTGCTCCTCTGGTAAGAGGTCCAGAGTAGGCTACTGACTGGCCCAGTGTTCATTCTCAACTCAGGTTCACGAAGATGTGCAGTCCATAGGCCCCATCTCCAGCCTCATCCTCTCCAGGGGAGGGTTTTGTGGGTCAGAATTTAGTCCCATGGGGAGGAGCAGTGGACTTCCAGCTGTGGAGCCCAGTA